GGAGAGTATTATGCTAAGCAAAATAAGCCAGTCAGAAAAACAAGTACCATATGATCTCACTTATTTGTGGAGTATAATGAACAAAATAAGCTGATGATCAAAATAGATCCAGAGACATGAAAGTAGAGAACAGACTGACAAACCTCAGAAGGAAGGAGTAGGGTGGGGTGGGGTGGGAAGGGATAAATCAAAGAACGCATATGTGCATAACCAGTGAATACAGACAATAGTGTGGGGAAAGCAGATGGGAAGTGAGAGTGGGGAGAAGGGGATCAATGGGGGGAAAGAGGAACATCTGTAATACAACAATACAAATAAAAGAGTATTAAAAAATCAACTTCTTTTCTATGATAGTTTAGTGGTATAATTCTTCAGATGTTTGCATTCCCATTTCCTGTGTATGTTATTTATAGTTTTCTTAATTAGAACTGTGGGTATCTCCACCGATGCTGTGATCTGTCCGTGGTACTTGGCAAAGCTCACTAGCAATGTGAATAGATTCCCAGCCAGCCATGAAAACACAGTTCATTTTAAGCTGAGTTGGTAATACAGCATGGAAATCACACTGGGACGTTTGGGTAGCACTGGTAAAGTAAAACTGCAAGGATGCAGCAACACACACACATCCCTCCCTAGCTCTAAGAAATATTTTTTGGGTAGAATTCAAAGGAAGCGAGAAAGATAAGTGGCAGTTACACACAGTTAACACAGAAATTGTGTCATTACTTTTGAAGGTCTTCAAAGTGAGTTATCTTTCTTTTCTGAGATAACACGTTTCCCTCCTGAGGTTGAAAAGTTCTGGACTTTAGACTTGTGATGGGTTCTAGTACATAGAGGAGGTAAGTACTGTACAGTGGTGAAAAACAATGCTGCTGATGGGCTTGTTCTGTATTTTGATTATGGTGGTCATTAAATGAACCTATACAAATATTAACATCCATAGACCTGTATATCAAAAAGAAAATAAGTCAGTTTTACTGTATAATTTAAAAAAACTGACATGGATGCTGGAGCTAGACTGCTTGGGTTTATTTGAATCACAGCTCCATCACTTATTAGCTTTGTAGCCCTGGGCAAGTTACTTGTGCCTTTTCTGTAAATGCATGTAATAATACTTCCTGCATGGGGTTGTTGTAAGGATTCAGTTAATTTATGTAAAGCACTTCAAATAGTGCCTGGGTCAATATAAGAACTAGCTACTATTGTTATCAGAATGTAAAGGAATAATAAGATATATGGGTTATCATGATTATTGCAACCAAGAGTAGTCTGAAATACAACTAACGTGAGGTACTACTGCCTTTATGCAAGAAAGGAAGAAACTCTAGAAAAGTGTAAATGCTACAGGGGAAATTAAGTCTGCTCTGTTGCTGTTGTTCAGGGAAGACATAAACTAACTAATCAAACAAACAAAAAATCCCCTCATCTCCTAATTCATTCATACAAACACTGGAGTGCCTATTTTCCAGGGATTTACTGAAAAGTAAGAAATTATCTGTGCAGGCTTTTGCTTTCCAAATCACCTGATGATATGTTCTTTAGCACGTCTTTTTTTCATGGCCTGTTTCCTCACACTTACTGCAGCTATTGGCCTAAGGTACTGGCATGTCTGGGATTAAGCATCATACTTATTGCATCTACCAATGAGAATGTTAAGACCCAATACATTCTTCCAGTAGGTTGAATGTTCAGAAGGTAAATTCCGAGTTATCTGGGAAGTAAAAGGAAGCTTTGGAAAACAGGAACTGGAGGTTCAAGCTGTGGTTGTTTTAAGGATGAGCTAGACACACTTAGAAATATTCAGATCATGAAACTCCTTTACTAAATGAGGAAATAAGGATGCTCTTTGTCATGAATGTAAAAAGTGAGGAATAATTCCTATGTGATGTTAAAGTATTAATCTTGAACCATTCCCTTCCCACCACAGGGCATCAGTGGGGCAGACAACATGATGGAGAGACACTAAGAGCAGGCAGAGGTGCTATTTATTTGAGTCACAAGTCTGAAGTCTTGTTTTTAATGTTTAAGCATTACTCTTTGACAGTTGAGAGAAAACAATGCCCCTGGGAGAAGGAAAGCAGCCAAGACAAAATGGAACAGTCTGAGAAAGAATGGAAATGATTCTATTGCTCCATGAGGCAGAGCCAAGTGGGAGGGAAGCCAGTGTAAATGATCAGAGGCTGTCTACGAAACAGCTTGCTTCAGCGCTGGGTGCCTACTCAGTGAGGCAATGACAACTCTGACATGGCTGGCGCAGCTGACGCTCCAAGGTAGTTACCTGCAGGAAACTAGTCTTCATCTCCACTTTGCAAATGTCTGAGTGATCAAAAAACACAAGCACACAAGACTGCATCTGTACTCCACTTCTCCTTGGTGGTCATGGGAAGACTCTGGGGAACTACACAGTAAAGCCCTAGTGACTGGTATGGCTTGCCATTTATGGTGATTAAAAATACAAAATGTGTTAAACTTAACTTTGTCTCAGTAACTCTGGAAAAAATGGTGCTGTTTTAAAGGGGAAAAAAGGTGTAACTTAAAAATAAAACTTTGAGGTTAATATCACATAGAAGTTAGAAAGCCCTTCAACTGCACATATGTCTTTAGGTGTCATGAATACAAAAGTAGTGACATACTGAACACCACGAGGCTGCAGAGCCAAGTAAATGATCTAATATAAACTTGCTTAATTGTTTTCTAGCCACTAAGAACAACCTGTTCTGTGGAAGTGAGGCAGCTGTCCTGACACTTTGCTATTAATTTCTCCTCTTTACTAATTCCTGCAAGCTGTATAGCATAAACGATTAGTGATTCAAGGGACGTCTTTTAGTTAGATTAATGGATTAAGAAGTATCAGTGAACTGACTAGAGCTCAGACACCAACACAGTAACCAAACTTCCTTAAAGCAAAACCCACTGTGGAGCGGTTGAATAGGCCAGCAGTGATCTGGGCTGCATTAGGTTGGCAGAGTATGAAGTAAATTGATACCAGATCCTACCAGAAGTCCTCCACTGTCTAGGCAGGGAAGTATTTTTTTAGTGTGAGGTATCGGAAACACCCTTTCCTCCCTTTCCTGCTTTTTCAATGAGAATCATAAAAGGTTAGGACTGAGAAAAATCTGCCATTTCCTCACTTTATAGGTGAGCAAATGAAGAGCCGAAGAGATGAACTAATATAATTAGGGAAATTAAAACTTACTTGGTAAATTGCACTCACTATTTAAAACTCCTAGCAAAGCACCTTAGAACATTTTTAGATATGCATCAGTCAAGCTTCATGAAACAAAAACACTGCATTTTAGAGGTAGAAGAGACCTGGTAAGTTATGAAAGTTTAAAAATGGAATCTTTGTTAGTCAAGAGGCCTAAAAGCCTAGAGAGAAGGGAGCATGTTCTGCTTTCTAAAATATGTATTCAGAACTTATGAGAATAATCGCAGCATCAGTTTTTAGGTTCTGTATTTCTCTACAAATGCAAAGTTTAGCATATTTACTTCATTCTATCTAAACAGTCAGGCCTAAGCTCCAAACTATGAACAGTAGACAAAAATATAATGGCCACAATTTAACTTGTAAAATTAATGGTTTTCATTCTCTCCTTAATGAAAAACTAGAAATCAGCTATTAATTTGAACTTGGGAAGCTACTGCCCTCTAGAGGGTGTATGTGGAAAGGACCTACCTCCCCCAAGATGAGAGTGAGAGCAACAGTTGTTACAAGTTGCATCTTATTCTAAAAGGACTTAGTGAAAGGGGGCTAGAGGGTACACATTGGCAGAGAACATGAGACTATCAAGAAGTTTATGTTAAACCTGAGTCTACAGGAAATTTATGGATCTGACTGCATTTCAGTCCAGTTTATCACACTAGCATTTACCTCAACATCATAATCTGGGATTTGACTTGCCAATGGTTCATTGTCTTCAGCTAGGAAGAACAAAAGGTAAAAACTTTTGATTGATGTAATGCTATACAGTGCATACACATTTTAAAATGGTTAAATGCTCTGATAGTTGCAGAATAGACTATGGATCCTAGAAAGATATAACCTGAATTCTTCTGTAATTAAGATTTTCAGACATTTTAAACTCATGTAAGGTAAACTTCTGCTTTTTCTTCAGTGTCCATTTTTCCTTCTTCTCTTAAGTAATAGAAATCTGAAATGGTTCCTATTTCCCCTACATTTCCCAGCTTTCTTGTGGATAGGTATGGCCATGTGAATGTTGACCAATGGACAGGTGCAACTTCCAGGTTTTACCCCCTTCTCTTAAACAGGGAAGCTGCATGCTCTTCACCTCTACACCTCTTCCCCCTCCCTGGAAAAGGATGACCACTTGAGCAAACACCACAGACCTAGAGATGGAAGCCATGGAGTATTCCAGCAGCTGGATCCTTGGATGACTACCCAGTGCAGAGCCACCTACTCACTTCTATCTTATTTTGGAGAAACTGATTTCCTGCCACTTTTTCATATGCCAATTGCTAAGTTGTCCTCTCAGCTAGACTCCAAATAAGAAATAACATCTGGTCTCCATAAAAAAGAAAAAAAAAAATACTGAAAGAAACTTGAATGCAGCAGAATCCCCTTTTTAGGTATATCTGGGTCACACATACATACATACCCCCTACAAAAACAACAATTTGTATTTACAAACTCAAAAGATTACAGATACAAAAAACAGTTCTGAATAGTTCAAAAAGGGTGGGCATAGGGGAGCTTTATTATAGCTATACAGTTAACATCAGCATGAACAAGGTCAGCTTTATATTTTCATCTGTTTTTTCTTCTGCAGATTGTACACAAGGGAAGGAAGCTTCTTGGTTTTATAGGCCACACTTCTCTTGATGCGCTCTCCTTTGATGTTAACGATATATGGCAAGAGAGGGGGCCGGACTGTCAGCACTGTTCCTTGAGGTGTGTAGCCTCGGAGATGTAGTCTGTCTTTAAACTGAGGCGTTACTGCAACCCAACCTATGCAGGCATACAGCAGAACACAAAATGGTGTTAGCGACTATCTTTCCCCCTGCCCGCAACTACCACAAATTGTGCAGTCAGGTTTCCCACATTTGGGGAAATCGCAGGGGTCAGCTCATCCGGAGTGCATTGGCCAAGCCTCGCCCTGGGAAAACCACCTTCGTGATCATGGCATCTCCCCTGCCAGGTAAGTATGTCAGTGACTATCTTATTGAAAACACTAACCCAAATCTTAAAGTAGAACATAAAGGAGGTTACTGTTCTCTTTCACTCTATTTTTTAAAAAAGCATACTATACATTTGTGAAAAGATAAAAATTGATTTCAGAGTAGGTTGCGTTTTATGAATAAACTAGAAATACTCACCTTATGTTACTAGGCACACTTCTATAAAAATATAAAATACTTACCTTCTGTTACTAGGCATACTTCTATAAAAATATAAAATACTTACCTTCTGTTACTAGGCATACTTCTATAAAAATATAAAAAGGCTACTTTATTCATCTTTTTAAAAAGTGCCTTGTGTGCCCTGGCCAGTTTGGCTCAGAGGTTAGAGCGTCAGCCCTCAGACCAAAAAGTCATGGGTTTGATTCTGGTCAAGGGCATGTACCTTGGTGCGGTTCAGTCCCCAGCCCTGGTCGGGGTCATGCAGGAGGCAACCAATTGATGTCTCTCTCTCACATTGATGTTTCTTTCTCTCTCTCTTTCCCTCCTTTCCACTCTATCTAAAAAAATCTTTGGGTGAGGATTAAAAAAATAATGATAATAAAAAAAAAATTTAAGAAAAGAAAGTGCCTGGTATAAAATTACCTGCAGAGGAGAACTTGATGTCAGCCACTGCTTCAGATTCCCCAGCTCCTTCTTCTAATGTAATGTCTTCAGCAACAAGAGGAGGAAATTCTGTCATTCGCTCTTTTCCACCTATTGGAACCTTCCATTAAGATAAAATGAACATGTTGGAAGTTCAAAAACAATTCCCCATAACTCTAATATTAAGTAAAGCACTGATAAGGTAATTCTGTACAGTGATCAAGAATAAAATCCTGCCCTGGCCGGCTTGGCTCAGCAGTTAAAGCATTGGCCTATGGACCAATGAGTCGTGGGTTCGATTTCAATCAAGGGCATGTACCTCGGTTGCAGTTCATCCCCGCTTGTGGGAAGCAACCAGTCGATGTGTCTCTCTCACATCAATGTTTCTCTTTCTCCCTCCCTCCCACTCTATCTGATGATAAACAGAAAAATATTCCTGGGTGAGGATTTTAAAAAATCCTGTTAAACATTAATGGTTGAAAAAAATCTCCAAATCACTTCTAGTCAAATGAAAAGCATAGGAAACCTACAGTTCCATGCCAAGGGCCACATGTGGGTGGTAACTTCCTGATATCAGAATCTTGCTTTATTAGTTTACACTGTTTTTACAGCTCTCCATAAAGCTTTACAAAGAGTCATGTTGGGCAGGCAATTAAGGCAACATCTTTCCAAATACCTTAGCTCTTAGAGGCCTGGCTGCCCACAAAGATTAATCCCTGACTCATGACAAGTCAAGGGTACATGTATCAGATTCAGTTTCTATGTTTACAGATGTTTCCATGAATTGGAAGTGACTGGTAATTTATGCATTAATAGATGTCTCTGTGATTAGCACTAGGGACACAAAGATAGATGTTACAGTATGGCCCTATCCCCTAAGAAGATCAGAAGGTGGAAATAACATGTAAACCAATTACAAGGTAAGAATGTGATGAGAGGCATATATTAAGTACTATGGTTGTGGAGGAAGAAGTAATGAATAGGTTTTGGTCAAGGTAAACATTAATGAAGAAGCAATATCTGAGCAGTATTTTGAGAAATAGGTCAAAGTTACCCAGTGGAAATTTAAAGTGTTGGTTAGCATCATGTATAGACACAAAAACGGGAAAAAGGAGAGGTTCAGGAACTGTAGTTTAACTGTCTAGATTATGTTGTATGTGTGTGTATTAGTGATGAGGCCATCAGTTCAAACTTCTCTCAGTAATGTGGAACTACCAAGGGGTTATAAGGAGGAAAGAGAACAGAAATAAAGAATTAAAAAACCCCCCAAAAAACAAAATCCCTGATACTGTGACCTGCTTTGCATTTGGGGAAGATCTCTCTAGTGCAGGACTTCTCAACCCTCAGTACTACTGACATTCTGGGCTAAATAACTGTTGGGGGAGTGGGGAAGCTCTCCTGTGCAGTATAGGGTTTTTAGCAGCATCTTTGGCTTCTACTTGGCACCTACCAAGTTGTGAAAACCAAAAATGTCTCCAGGTAGTGCCGAATATTCTCTGGGGGAAAAGTCAATGCTGGTTGAGAACCACTGCTTTTGTGATGGGGAGGTATATTTGGGGTGGGGGTGGAAGGAGGGCAGTTAAAACTGAAAGCCGAGAAAATATTTAAGGATCTCGAAAACAGATTACAGCTTGAACTCCAAGGCTGGATTTAGAGAGAAACCGTTTGTGTCACACAGGGAGAGAAGACCGGGATTGCTGCTTCAGAAAGTATCAGTGATGTACATTCTGAAAACTGCACAGATGCATGGGGTAGAACAATACAGAGTTCATGTTTCTGAAAGTCATGTCACACAAACTAAGGAAGTTTTATTTCCTGCAAGTCTCAGGCTGCACTTCAACTTATTATTTTATCTAAAAAGTGAACAAATATGTAGAAGTAAAGCTTCTGTTGCAGAAAAAGCAACAGACTCTATATTGCCAATTGTCTTATGTGCTCACTCAGCAAATCCTACAAAAGTCTCTGGAATATTAACTTTAGGGCAGTTATTTCAATAAATTTTTAATAATAATTTTTCTTTATTGATTTTTAGAGAGAGGGAGAGGGAGAGAGATAGAGACATCGATGAGAGAGAACATTGATTGGCTGCCTCCTGCATGGCCCCCACTAGGGATCAGGCCCACAACCTGGGCACGCATCCCGACCAGGAATCGAACCAGCAACCTCCTGGTACATGGGTCAACGCTCCACACCAGCCAGGCTCAATGGATTTTTTAACAAATTGATTTGAGAGAGAAAGAGAGGGAAAGAGAGATGGAAACATTGATTTGTTGTCCTACTTAATTTATGCATTCACCGGTTGATTCTTGTTTATGTCCTGACTAGGGATCGAACCCACAACTTTGGCATGTGGGAAGGATGCTCTGACCATCTGAGCTACCCAGCCAGCAGCTTTAATTTCAGTCTGGCTTTCTTAGGAAATCCAGAGAGAAGTATTTGTAAGTCAAGCCAGGTTTGTTTTTATCATCTTTGAAGGGCAGATGTATATTTTGTGGTTTTACTTACTTTTGGTTGCAAGAGCATTAATTAATGCTAAATTACCTCTGCATTGAATGCACCTGGTGTTTTTGCAACAGTTATGTTCTATCACCACCACCACCACCACCACCACCACGACACTTCCCTGGCACTTGGAACAGTGCCCCGGAACTTAATCCTCTCCAGACCTCGACCTCGTGATGTAGGTTCAACACAGAGAGGTAAAGGAAACTTGCCTAAAGTCACACAGCTTTGTTAAGTGGTAGATCAGAGTGGAAATTGATTCCAGTCTACCTCCAGTGATCTTAACTATTATATAATACTCACTAGCTAACAATGTCTACAGCGCATCTTGTTAAGAAGTTGAAAACAGTACCCACTCAGTCTTTGGTGAATTGATAAGAACAATTTCAGTGGCACAGTAAGAGCCAAACTAGATGGAACATAAGAAACAGGAGCAACCTTGATTGTAAAGAGAAGGAATAAATAGGACACTGAGTTTTTTTTTTAAAGATGAGAGAAATCTTAACATATTCACAGGTTGAAGGAAGGAGCTAGTAGAGCCGTAGAGAAGAGGTGAGATAATCTGTAAGTGGGATTAAGAAGCTGGGAGGAGAGTTTCTCCACCTAGACCAGGCCTCTGAACCTTGGCAGTGCTGACCCTTTGGACCAGATAACTCTGTGTTGTGAGGGGCTGTCCTGTGCATCCACTAGATGCCAGTAGCATCTCCCAGTTGTGAGAAAATCTGTAGCTTCTCCTCACTATTATCCAACACAACTTTTTTTTTTAAATGTGAAATATCTCTCTCCCTGGCTGCCAAGGGGACATGTGAGTTTTCTTCTCTCTCTTTTTTTTATCCTCACCTGAGGACATTTTTCCATTTTCTGTTCAGATACAGTGGGAGGGAGAGAGAGGAAGAGAAAGAGAGAGAAACATCGACGTGAAAGGGACACATCGAGTGGCTGCCATCTGCACAACCCAACCAGGGCCGAGGACAAACTGTAACTGAGGTACGCGCCCTTAGCGGGAATCAAACCCAGGTCTCTCCGGATCACAGGCCGACGCTCTAACCACTGAGCCAAACTGGCCAGGGCTCCAAAACAACTTTCTGCAACAAAGTGACTGCCGGGCAGTTGAAAGGTGGCTAGTACAACACAAGAACTAAAACTAAAATTTTATTTAATTTTAATTGACTTATATTTAAATAGCCACATGTGGCTACCATTTTGGACAGTATTGTCTAGAGAAAGCATAGCTCTGTAGGTATTCTTGGATCAGTCCAACATCCCTTTTCTTATAAGGCCCACCTCACTCTACAGCCAAATCCTCAAGGAGAACAAGGTGAGGGGAGAGCTGGCTGATGGTATAACAAAGACTGTTCTGTCTAACAAAGGCTTTTTTAGCAGGGCTGTGGGACTGTCACCGTGTAAGTTAACCTCACCATGCAATCATCAAAGCGCGTCACCTCACCTTGAATAATGTATGACCTGCATGCTTCTGATATATATCATCTGCCTTGTCCAAAGAGGTAACATGCACAGGAAGGAAGTTAGAAGCCACAACTGTAAACCAGGCTGACTGACTTCCCTTAAGAAAGAAAGAAGTTATTTTACACAATGAAAAACCAGCACAAGGAACAATTTAAAAAATATCAAGCTCCCTTGTAAGTAGTGGTACGGCAGCTATAATTAACCTGTATTAATGTAAGGGCACAATATGGCAGAAACAGTGTGTTTCAATAATTTATGTAAAACTATGATTCCTTCTATAGGTTTATTGATAGCCTTTAAAAAAAAGATACTTAAAAAACTTTTTTTTTCTTTATTGATTTTAGAGGGAGAAGAAGGGAGAGGTGGAGAGAAACATCGAAGAGAGAGAACATTGATTGGCTACCTCCTGCATGA